TTTTTTTTTTTTTTTTTTTTTTTTTTTTTTCAGTTTTAAAAAGTTGTTTCGGTATTATAATTTTCATTTAAATTTTCACTAAAAAGATGTGAGGCTATTTACATGAGGTTGTGATGAGAGCATCTGGAGTAAAGTAGGCAGAAAAGAAAAAAAATATTCCATCTGCATCTGAAATGGTTCGTGATTGATTTTGTTCAATGGAAAGATAGAGACATGATAGAGGGAGGGTAGGGTAGAGCTGACAAGGGTGTTGGGGTCATGGTTGGTGGAGATGATAGAGGTGTTGGAGTCTGTACAGGTAGGGGAACAGCTGTTGGAGGAGTTGAAGTAGGGGGAGTTGTAGCCTGTAGGTGGTGGAGACTGGAGAGGGGGGCGGGGGGGGAGGGAAGCTCACTGGTGGTGGTGTGGTGGAGACTAAGTGGTGGAGTCAAAGACTTGATAGGAAGAAAAGAAGACTAGGTATGAAGGCAAGTATCAGCAGGGAAGAGACAACTTTTAGAAACTTTAAACTAGAACTAGGAAATCTTTTTTCCTTGTTTCCAAAAGTGAGGTAAAATGGTTTTAAAATTGATTTAAAAACCATTTCAACCCCTTTTTATCCAAACATTTTTGTTTCAAAATAATGAACTGGAAACTTGCAACCACCCTAATCAGGACCTTAGGTTATCTTGAAAGTGCTTCAATTTTTCTAGAGTGATAGCATCATAGCATGACTGAACTGATTCATATAGCTAATTCTAGGGGTGTTCATAAAACTATTTTGAAAACTAAACTATAAAAAACTGAGCTATTTCTTCTACAAACTAAACTAAACTATATTTCAAGTTCAGTTTAAAACACTATACTATGTCTTTGAATAGTGGGTTTGGACATAACTCAAACCTACAAAATCAGCTTGTAAGGTAAAGATTAACTCCCGCTTATATACTCTTTAATTGCCTTATCTCTAATCGATGTGAGATTTATATTTTTTCCAATACACACCCTCATGTCGATCCAACACTATTGGGCTTGGTACGTAGATAAATAGTAAGTGACTCTTTTTAATGATCTAGGATAGTCAAGACTTGAGTTTTTCCCAATACGTCCCTTTTGCTCAACATTATTTGGCTCGGTACGTGTATCAATGGTGAGAGGTCCTTTTTGGAGTGGATCTAGGATAACTCTAATACCATCTTAAAATAGTGAGTTTGGACCTAACTCAACTCTATAGAAGCAGATTGTAAAGTGAGGGTTGTCTCCTACTTATATATTTTTTAATTAGTTTATTCTAATTGATGTGAGACATGCGTTTTTCTCAATACAATAAAATGTAGTTTAGTGCACTTTAGTTATAAAAAAATTGTTATAATGACTTTTGCATAATTGTTGTATTCAATTTGCATAAGTAATAATTTTTATTATAAATAAGACTATATTTATTTTAAAGATTTTAATGTTGTTATCTAATTATACATTAACATGAATAATTAAAATATTAACTTTGAATAATTATTTGATAAATTATATTTATGATGATTTTTAATTGATTTGACTGTGTAATCAATGTATTAAAATTAAAATCTCTTTTGAAACAAATTGATCGTAAATCAAATTATTGAACAGTTTAAAAAATTCTTACAGTAATTTTAAATCATCTTTTTTGTTTTAATTTGTCTTGTCTATGTATGACTCATCTTTATTGCGGTCTTTACTATTTTTAGTTAAATGTAAAGGTGAAAAATGATCTGGTTTAGGGATCATGTGTTTTTCCCTCTAAATATTTAACACAACTACATATCTATAACTCAAACTTGAGAAATTTGATTAGGTTGAAATAAGTTCCTTATTGGTTGATAGGGCTATTCAAAATTTATTTCAAATTAAACTACTAGAAAACTAAATTGAACTAGAATATAAAAGATACTCAACTATTTTTTTTATAAAAATGAAATTGAACTTAAGTTGGTTTTAAAAGCTAAATTACCATAAAAATCAGTTTCGTTAAATTCAAATAACAAGAAAAAGTTTGATTTAGAATACAAAAATAGTTTAATTTAGTACAACGTATAATTCAAGTTCATGGAACATCAACTAATGGTTCCACAGTAGCTACTTATGTAAGCTGGAACTATTTTGCCTTAGTTTTTAGTGAGCAGTTTTGGTTGACTTACCACTTGGAAGATTTTAGTTTTTTTAAATTAAACTGCATTAGCCACATTTTAGTTTATTAGTATAAGTTTGAGAATAAGAGTTAATTTGAAATAAAAAATAATTTTTTTTATAATGTAGTTTAGTTAAATTTATAGTAAAAAAAGTTTAGTGCAGTTTAAATTATAGTTCAGTTTGAACTTTTAGAACTATAGTTCTCTAAATTAAAAAATGGTTTAGTTTGGTTTTTCTGGACTATTTTATAGTTTAGTTCAGTTTAGATGGATCACTTTTATAGTTTAGTTTAGTTAATAGGTAGTTTAGTTTAGTTCAACTCTTTTGAACACCCCTAGCTAATTCCACTTACAGAAAAAGAAAATAATTATCATACATTTTCATTTATGCAAGTTTTATTGCTAACAATATTTTTTGTACACTGCTTTTGGTATACAGAGAACCTATATTCTAGCATGTTGCTGATTTTAATTATTATTTCATTTGCTTCTCTGTGTTCATATGTGCACTGTCATTGAAAAATCTAAAAAAAAATGTGTCCATACATGAACAACATAGGTTTTTTCACTGTTTATATTGTTTCAGCTTATGTACAATGGATTTATTAGTTGAGCAACTTTACTTGGTAAACACTATGTTCTCTAGTAGAGGTTATTTTAGTTTCTAAATAATATGTCCCCTTCATCATCTTTAGGTCAAGAGAATTAATTTTGGAGTTATGTTTCTACTTTGCTCAGCCATTTAAAGCTTTTGATACATAAAATATGTCCAAATGAAGTCAATTGTTTGTTTATATCTCAGTGAATTTTAAGTAGGATGGAATCTTCATGCTCTAACTGAGTGATAAATGCAGGTTATCATGTATGCACAGCCATAGGACGGGGCTCAAAAATAGATGTTGATATCATTGGTAAGCCCAATTTTCCTATCTGTTTCTGTTTCTTATTTTTTTTTAAACCATGGTGTTAGATATAGTTTTTTCTTATGGGCCTAGGCCCACTACTTTGTATATAAATACATCTTTTGCTTTGCAATAAACAAGGAATATGTTCTCTCCATTTACCATTTCTCTCAACATGGTATCTAGAGCCTATCCTTGACTTTCTAGTGGACCCATTGTTCATCGGTGCCCGAAAAACGTGTCTCATTCTGTTTTCCGGCTACCCACCTCGCCGTGTCTCTTTCTGGCAGTTTTTTTTCCCTATTTTTGAATTTTTTTTTGTTGTCGCCGTCGCCAGCTCCTGTTTTCCGGCAAGCGGCCCACCACCGCGGTTGCCTTGCTCCGGCGAACCCAATGCCGTTGGAATCTCGGCACGCGCCCACACGCGGCCACCGTTCCGGCAGCATTCACCGGTGCCGAACTTGCCCCAACGTCTTTTACCCCGATCTACTATTTGTTTTGTGATCAGACCTCGTTTGTCACGGATCTCTTCCTTCTCGGGCCATTTTCTCTCTCCTATTCCAACATCTATGGCTTCCCCTATCGCTGTTCGGCCTGACTCCTCTATTTTCACTAACTATGTCAATGTCCCCCTTTCCATTAGATGGAACCAATTTTGATACTTGGACTTCGGATATCAAGCTTTGGCTTAAGGGACAGGATTATGTTGCTCACCTTACCCAATCAGCTGCTTCCGTTGATGAGAAGGATCGTCCTCGTTGGTCAAAAATTGACGCTCAAATTTGTAGCGTCCTTAAGTCGACCATTCATCCCTCCCTAAAGAAAATTTTTCGTGCTCATGAGACATGTGTTGATGTATGGAAACAAGCACGATTGTTGTACACCCATGATACTCAACGTCTCTATGGTGTGTGTCAAAATCTCCAGAATATCATTTGGCCATGACGCCTTGAGGGCTCCATGGCTGAGTATTTGGGCAAAGTTCATGGCCTTCTACATGACTTCAATGAACTTTTGCCTCCCGTTGCCACTCCTGCCAAGGAACTAGAGCAATGCCAATCTTTCTTTATGTTGATGGCATTGTATGGGCTTCCTGATGAGTACTCTTCCATTCGTGATCAGATTTTGGGATCTCCGACCGTGCTTACCTTGAACTCGGCTTGGTTCACTATGTTGCGTGTGCCTTGCAAGTTTTCCCCTGACATACCTTCTTCAACTCCCACTAGTGACTCCTCTGCTTTGGTTTCTCAACGTGATGATCGTCAGCGTTCTCGCAAACCGGGCAAAGGCCGTCCCAAGTGTGATCACTGTCACAAACTGGGCCACACAATTGACCGTTGTTACGTCTTACATGGTCGTCCCCCTCGCCCTGCTACTGCTGTTGTGTCTGCTGTGTCACCCGACCCACTACCTTCGCCTCCACTTCAAGTTTATCATCGTCGGCAACGCTCAACTACTTGAGTCTGACCTCCTTATTGCCCTCCGGAAAGTTAATCGTTCTACTCGTAATCCTTCCCCTCATTATATTACTCTGAGTTATCACTGGTTATCCCCATCCCAATATACTTGTCTCTCTTCTCTTTCCTCTGTGTCTATTCCTAAAACTGTAGGTGATGCCTTGGCCCACCCTGGTTGGAGACAAGCCATGATTGATGAACTGTGTGCTCTTCAGAACAATCGTACTTGGGATCTTGTTTCTTTGTCTCCTAGGAAGTCTGTGGTTGGATGTTAATGGATCTTTACAGTCAATGTTGGTCTTGATGGCACCATTGATCGACTCAAAGATCGTTTGGTCGCCAAAGGTTATACTTAAATTTTTGGATTAGACTATGGAGACACTTTCTCCCCCGTTGCCAAGATGACCTCTATCAGATTATTCTTAGTCATGGTTGCTCTTCGCCGTTGGCCTCTCTATCAACTGGATGTTAAAAATGTCTTTCTTCATGGGGATTTGCTTGAGGAAATTTATATGGAGCAACCTCCTGGGTTTGTTGCCCAGGGGGAGTTTTCCGGTTTGGTATGTCGTCTCCGCAAATCACTTTATGGTCTTAAGCAGTCTCCAAGGGCATGGTTTGGTAGATTTAGTACCGTAGTCCAACAGTTTGGTATGACTCGAAGCGAAGCTGATCATTCGGTCTTTTATCGACATTCCAGTGCTGGGTGCATCTACTTGATAGTGTATGTTGATGATATTGTTCTTACTGGCAGTGATCATCATGGCATTTCTCAGATAAAACATCTTTGCCATCACTTTCAGACAAAAGACCTTGGTAAACTTAGATATTTTTTGGGGATTGAGGTAGCGCAATCTACAAATGGAATTGTAATATCTTAAAGAAAGTATGCATTGGATATTTTAGAGGAAATAGGGCTAATGAGTTCCAAGCCCGTTGATACACCTATGGATCCCAATGCTAAACTTCTACCAAGTTAGGGGGAACCTTTCTCAGATCCTGAGAGGTACAGAAGATTGGTTGGGAAATTGAATTATCTCACGGTAACTCGTCCTGACATCTCTTTTGCAGTTAGTGTGGTGAGTCAATTTCTCAATTCTCCACGTGCAGGACATTGGAATGCAATCATCCGCATTCTGAAGTATATCAAAGGTGCCCCAGGAAAAGGTTTATTATATGGCTACAACAATCATACCCAAGTTGTGGGGTACTCAGATGCAGATTGGGCACCCTCTCCCTCTGACAGGAGATCCACCTCAGGTTATTGTGTCTTTATCGGTGATAACTTGATTTCCTGGAAAAGTAAGAAGAAGAATGTAGTGATAAGATCTAGTGTAGAAGCAGAACATCGTGCTATGGCCTCTGCTACGTGTGAGCTTATTTGGCTCAAACAGTTGCTTAAAGAACTGAGATTTGGCGAAGTTACACAGATGACTCTCATATGTGATAACCAAGTTGCCCTTCATATTGCCTCAAATCCAGTATTTCACGAGAGGACCAAACACATTGAAATAGATTGTCACTTCATTCATGAGAAGATTTTATCTGGGGACATTACTACTCAGTTTGTTAACTCTACTGATCAGTTGGCAGATGTCTTCACCAAATCATTACGGGATCCTAGGATTGATTATATTTGTAACAAGCTTGGTGCATATGATCTATATACACCAGCTTGAGGGGGAGTGTTAGATATAGTTTTATCTTATGGGCCTAGGCCCACTACTTTGTATATAAACACATCTTTTGCTTTGCAATAAACAAGGAATATGTTCTCTCCATTTACCATTTCTCTCAACACATGGTTTTCTTTTGCTAATTTTTGGTGCTTCATTTACGCTCCTCCTATTTCGTATTGTTATGCACTATTTGATTTTTGGTGATTTTTAATAATGATTCTAAGTATGAACTTTACTAGAATAAATATATGATTATGGTGCTTTTGAAATGACAGATAAGAAAAATCCCCACACTGGTGTAATTGTTAAAATGTCAAGCCTCGGCCCCAAATACAACTGTTCGCTAGCTGTGTCTGTTCTTTGCAATTTAAATGGACTGCAAGTAGGGTTTTATTATTATTATTTTTTAACTTTTTAATTGATTAAACCAGAAATTACGAAGCTGATACTGATTGGAAAGTTTTATTACCAAACTTCTGCTTACAGGGACCGCAAGCTCTGGAGAGATCAGGGACCTGTGATTATGTGAGTACTTTATTTTGGGATTTTTATAATTATGCTTCATTGTAACTAGCATTTTGTTTGTTATTATATGATGTACGTTTCCAACATCCTAGCATAGTTCTTTTATGTCCCTGTGCAGTATATATTTTTTAATTTGTTAACTTAGAACTTGAAAATCACCGACAACTGTTGAAAATCTAGGAAATGTTGAATGTGGACTCTTGAATCATCAAGGAACGTTTTGAACTTGTTGGCTTTTCCTTTTCATCTGCCTTGTAGAAAATTCATTAACTATCAAATGATAATGTTGGCTATCATGCTCTCTCTCTTTTTCCGTGAATTATTTTATCAGTTGAAAGATTAATAAGAAAAATTCTTGTATATTTTTCCTTTTCCAGCTATTTTCTTCACCAACTGCCATGACATTTAATGTTCTGTACTTATGTTGATTGATCTCTGTTTTCTTGTTGATTGGAGTTCTAATTGTAAAACTAAAATATCAAAGTCATTGCCAGTCAAATTAGCAAGCCTCAGCTCTAATACACGAGATAACGAGTCTTTTTTCTTATGTCTTCAATTCCTTTTTGTTCAAAATGAAGAAAACTGGACAGAAATTCAATCTCTTGTTCCCCTGCATTGATATACATCAGATGAAACATGAGAATAAGAATTATGGCTAGGCAAAAGTTGAAAACAAAAGGGCAGTATGAAAGTGATATTAATTCAAAACCAAAGACTACTATTATTTACTGTTTATTGTAATTTTCTCAAGCAGGTTACAGAGCTAAAGCACCCATCTGGTTGTGCCATGATCGTAAATGTTCATGGAGGAGGGTGGGGGTGGTTTGGCACCTTACTAATTATGTAAGGGCTTTACTGTCTTGCTTGGGTCTTTTAATTATCACAAGGATCTGTGATTTGGCTAAATTACTAATAATTGTTTCATCTTATTTCAGTGTTTTATGCCTTGTTGCTGCATATTTCCTGGCTGGTATAGTTTACCGATTTTTCTTCCTCGGGATTCGTGGGATAGATGTATGTTCTCACCTGTCCTTTTTGCTGTTTACTTGTCTTTTACTCTCTTTACTCATAGGGCATGTATATCTATTTTTATTTAGGCTTAAATATGTTTTAAATTTCTAAAAGTGATTTTTTTAGTTATTCTAATTTTATTTGATTTTAGTCTCCACATTTAACAAAAGCATTGTGTTTATACTTTATAGTCTCTCATTAGAGACCAAAAGCACATAGTTTTTATAATTTTTAAAACAAAAAATTTAAACAGGAATTAATTTTTTAAAAAAAGTTATTTTCTGGGGCGAAAAATATATTTAATTTAAACCTTTTATATATGTGTGTGTGTAAATTTGCTACTCTATAATTGTTTCCTTGTACTTGCTCTGCTCTGATTAGAAGCTGAAAAGAGAAAAATAAAATCTTTTTCAGTTACTGATTCATTGTCTTTTTTCATTTGATTTAATTATTATCTTTGAGGTAATTTGAATGAACATTGTATAATCCAAATCTTTTTCAGTTACTGATTCATTGTCTTTAATAGTGGATTTTTTTGTTGCCATTTGTGTATGGGTAACTTAACTGTGCTAAATTTTTTGCATCTCATGCTCTAACTCAAATTGATTATTGTCCCTTATTTTCTAATGGTCGCAAATTTCTTGTTAATTACACCCAGTCATTCGGTTAACAATTTTGTTTCTTAAATGGTCAATGATGTTTTAAAATGTTAAATTCCATGTCAATCCTTCACAGAACTTTTTTAGGCTCTAAAACCACCTTGTGTGGGACTTGACTGCAATTAGGATTGAAATCTTTTTTCATTGACTCTATTTTTCAGATTATCCCTAACCTGGACTTCTGGATCAGCTTGCCAAGGAGAACACAGGTATTCTTTTACATGAATGTTTCATGTTGAGCTTTTCCAATCTGTCAGTTGATGAAAACTAGTGGAAGGCACTATGTCATCAGCAGTGGGGAAAGATAGAATGAGTTTTTAAAACTTTGGCTCAATGATATCTATAAGAGGGTTGGAAGCTGCATTCTTCGGATAAACATTGTAATTTTACTTTGTCTTTGCAGAGTCTGTGTTCATCTTTGGTGAGGAGGTTTAAGGGTCCGTCCCAAGGTTACCGAAGCTCCTATTCTCCTGTGAACTTCTGAGATCATATTTTCAATTTATCTGGTGAGTTCATTGCGGATAATCTCAGATATGAGGCGAGCCTTCTGCTGACAACTGCAGAAAAATTCCTTTTCAGATATCCAATTGGTCAGCTGAGCTTCCTTGATATGTAATATTCCACAGAAACCTGTAATTCTTGTTCTGAATGTCCCTCCGTGAATTTAATTTGTAACATTCTTTTATCCGTCTCTTTAAAGAAAAAGAGAAAGAGGAGGAAGATAAAAAAAAAAAAAAAAAAAAAAAAAAAGGGGGAAAAAAAAAAAAAAAAAAAAAAAAAAAAAGATGACAGAAAGTCTAGCATGATTCTTATTAAAAGAAAAGAGGGATTATAATGGATTTATTCCAATAATTTTGGTAGACATTCTTTGGTTGATAATCAGATAATTAAGTGAAATTGTAACTTGCCTTTTGTTACTTTGACCATGTTTCTCATTTTCTAATCATTTTTGCATTTTTAGTTATTTTAATATGGATTGGGTGTGTCTTTATGCTGTAAGCTCTATGCCAATGAAGTCTCGAGTATATCCAAAGTTTATATGGAGATTTATTTTATTTTTTCTTCACATCGTTTCTTCTATAAATATCTATGGAGAAGTTTATTCAAAAATCTCTTAAAGTCGAACGCCAATGCCCATCTTCAATCTCTTGCCTTGAGTAAATCCCATGATATTTATCCTGGCTGGCTTATATGCAATAGAGATTTGTCCCACTGCTTTTTGTTTGCTTCTTGTGGAGAAATACTAAAACAAACACAATTTCTAACCTACTTTATTACACATTCTATAATTATTGACCGAAACTTGTCAGAAATAAAATTCTGGTTCCACTTATTTAATAAGATTTTTTAAATCACTTTTTTTTAAAAAATTATATTATAATTAATAAAAGCAATAAATAATTATACAAGAAAAAAATATATTTATTCATATGTTTATAAAATATTATGACTAAAATATATGTTAAGTTCTTGCAAATATGTCTAGTTTTAGTTCTTATAATTTTTTTAGTTGTTTAAGTCCATAAGATTAATATAATATTTTATACTATTGTCAACGTTAATTATATATAATATTTAATAAATTGATATTATATGAAGAAATCACTTTATTGTTTTTGTGAGTACTATATTATTTTTAATAAATATTATATTATATTATATTTGATAAATTCAATAATCTTAAAGAAAAATTGTTTATTCATATATTTAGAAAATATTGCAATAATAACACTAAATATTATAATAATATTTTTTAATGTATTCTTTTAATAATATATTTTGATTGTATATGAATTGATATGAAAAATAATATATTTAATAAATATATATTATATTTATTAAACTAAATTTAATACATATATTATATGTAAAATTATTTAATATATTATAGTAATATTGATGATAAATATATATAATATTTATTATTTAATAAATTAAAAAATTCATACTATGTGAGGAAGAAGGCATTTTATTTTTTCTTATTTTTATAAATACTATATTATACATAATTAATAATATTAAAGGGAAATTTTTGTTCATTGATATATTTAGGAAATATTGCATTATAACTTTAAATATTATATTAATTTTTTTTACTTTTTTGGGCGAATAAAATATATTTTGTGCGTCCTCGAACTAACATGTACTACTACTTCCAAAACGAATTGGACATTAGTATAACAAAGAAAACAATAATGTATGCATTGTACATGCAAGCTGGAATCAGTCATCAATTGTGTACAATTTGCAACAGAACAAGGGATTATTAAAACCCATTAATATTGTTAGAGGCCCATGATTTATTTTTTCCTGAGTGTCCAGCTAGCACAGGCATAATGTAATGATATACCCTGCAGGGTCCAAATATTATTGTGTCTCTGTGAGAATTAAGACAACAAAGCAGGTATATAATTCCAAATGCAACGTCCTAATCACCCTCTACCTTATCTCCAAACCCTTATTCACAACAAGAGAAATATGGGCAAGGGAATCTATAAATTTATGGGCAAGGGGATCTATAAATTTAACATAATTTTTTAGTAATAAATATATAATTTTATATTTATATATATATATATATTAAGTTTTTTTTACAAGATTCTATATTTTAAAAATATTAAATGATTTTTTCATTTTCAACATCTTAAAATTTATTTTTATATAAGTAATTCAACAATCATTTAACTATTTATTTCTCACATTAATTTTTTTATATATAAAAAAGGTATAATATAAACTTAGATAAATCATCAGTCCATAACTCTTAATTAAGTTTATTTAACTTAACTATAATTAACATTATATATATATATATAAATATAATATTTTTTAATTTACATCCATTTGTGTTTTTTAAAAAGGATAAGTTAGCAAGTTTCATCTATGTGTATTTTAGAAAATAAGCTTAAATATTTTCTTAGTTCATCAAATTTAGGATAAATTTATTTTTAATATCTCAAATTTAAATATGATATTTTTAGTTCCTATAATTTTAAATCTTATTATAATTCTTTATATCATCAATAACATATCTGAAATAAACAAATTAAAATAATTATACAATATAGATTGAATTTAATGTGATATTTTTAATAACAAAATATTGGTAAATAAATTTTATATGACATTATTTAACATATTTCATAAAAAAAATTTGAGTATAAGAACTAAAACAAAATTTTTAAAAATTATTAGATTAAAAATAATAATTTTAAATTTGATAAACAAAAAATAAATTTACATTAAATTTAAGAAACTAAAAACATATTTAAACCTAAAATATACTATACTTAAAACTTGCTCATATACTCTTTCTTAAAAAAAATGGATATACATTAACAAACTCCACAAATATTTGATAAATACTTATTTATTTTATAAAAAAAGAGTAAGTTGGCAAAAACTGACTCACCCCCACAATCAACAAAGTGTTGCACATATATGTGATATTTCAAAAGGAAATAGTACCACATTGCTTGGTCCACCTATATGTAGAGCCTTTATATATTAAAGTGTTCCTTAAGCTTCCAAAGAGGCAAGCAATGGAATTCCATTCTCCTATTTGGTAAAACTTCTATATGTAAATGATAGTGTCATTAACCTGGTCTATTTTTCTCTCCGTTCTCTTTAATTGACTTGTTCTATTTTGTTCTATTTAGTTGATATTGTTCCTCAGTTAGATAACACAAAAATTATAGGCATTAGGATAACTTCTCTCTATACAACCTTTATTTATTTATTAATAAATACATAAATATAATACAAACATTTTAAGTCTATCCTAACAATACGATAATATATTACAGGTTAAAATAATCGGTCGATCCTTATAATTTTATTAAACTTTTAATTATATTTTTATAATTTAAAATATTATAAAAATATTTTTATAGTTTAAAAATCTTGTAATTAAATTTTTCACTCATTAATATTGTTAAAATTTTGTTAGTATATGCTAACTAAATGTTGTAACATAACAATTACTTTTTAATATGGTAGTTAATCACATTTCTATTTTCATTTGTTCTAAATACTTTTAATTAAGTCTTTAATTTTGATATGCTAGTTATACTAAAATTTTATATTTCTCTCACGTTTATATTTAAATTATATTTTTTCAATGCATTGGAGTTTACCTTAATTATGGAAGATGATATGATCATTGCGTTAGTACTTTAAGTTAGACAATTAGAGACTATAATTTATGTCTCCAAATAAGAGGTTCAGATAGTAGGATAGAACCGGAACATCTTTCTCTAGTGGCCTCATAAGTTGGTATAAAGGTTATATCTATAATTTAATTAATCATATTTAATTTAAATTTGATATATTTTATTAGAATGTATCAAAAAAAATTAATTTGTTCTTTGTTAAATATAGGATATTATTGGATCACCCAAGCATAAGGGGATGATTGTGGTGTCCCCTTCTAAAAATCTTCCTTTGATATAAAGTATATGGAAAATAGTTGCATATATGGATGATGGATGACCCAAATAGATCTCTTGGGTCCCTAAAGTGTTTGACAAGTCTAATAGAGTACCTTTGTACATAATTCAAAACAACAGTCAGAGATTACTAACAAGCACACAATGTTGAACATATTTGTTCTTTTAACTTTGGTTGGTGTAAGTATTTGAATTCTTTTTAATTTTATTTTGTTGGTTGTTTCTAACTTTATAGATTTCTCCATATATTGTGTGTGATAAGGGGATTATGACATATAGATTTCTAAAATCTAAATCCATATAAAGGAATGGGAACAAGGTCATAGACTTTCAGATTTACATCCAGAATTGAATATATGAGTCAAATAAACAAGTTTATTTATTTCTTTATTATTTAAAATCTCATAATTATTTGATGATTATTTTTATAATTATTTACAAATCTCATAATTATTCTAATAATTATTTTTGTAGCTAATATATTTAAAATTTAACTATCTCATAATTAGACAATAATCACTCATTTTGTAGTTAACATATTTAACTAACAAATGAAACACATATTATATCGATGTTTAAAAAATGAGTTTTATCATGTATTTTTTGTATTTGATCAATAATAGTGTTACTTAATGTTAGATGGTTATTAGAGGGAGTCAAGATAGAAAAATATGTTTTTCGATAAGGGAAAAAATGTAGAAAAAAAATTTATTAAGTCAATCTATACATAAAACACCCAAATTTTGTAGTTAACATATTTAACTATCAAAGTAAAAATTTTATCGAACTTTAAAAGATTAGCTTTATCATGTATTTTTTTATTTGATTATTATAGTTAGATGGTTATTGGAAGGAGCTAATCAAGATGGAGAAATATGTTTTTTAATGAGAGAAAAAACTTAGAAGGATTTTTTTTTTATATTAAACCAATCAATTCATAAAATATCTAAATAAAAAAATTTAAATTAAAGAATCACTAAACTTCATCAAAGAAATTGAGAAGAACAAAAAATATCTTAAATTCATTGACCAAATCAAATAAAAAAAAAAAAAAGAATATATTTTTTTACACTATATGTAGTAATGAAGCTAAAAATAAACACTAAAATCATCAAACACAAACCTATCTCTATGATTGTGTACTGTATAGAGAATAAAATACATGAAGAAAATATGAACATAAGATAAACATGAAGATGAAAATAAAAATAAAATGAATAAAAACATTAAGAATAAATAAAATTGAGAGAATAATAAATAAGAAGAAAAATAAGAAAGGAAAAAAATTGTGTCTAGAAGAAATTTCTTCAAGAAGTTTTTTATGTGAGAAAGTGAGAAAAAAAAAGAAATATATATAGATTAGAGAACAATGACCTACTTTTTACTTCTAGAATAATGACAACTTTAAAGAAAACAAAAGGTAAAAATATTGTTTTGTTCTTTCAAATTTAAAACTTATGATTTAATATAATAAA